AGCTACAAGGTGAAAGACTCAGTGCAAGGAAAGATCTTTCTAACAGCTAGYAGTATCCAAAAGTTAAGGGATGGCAGTAAACTTCCTGACATCAGAACTGCATCAAAGGCATTTGAATGACCATTTGGCAAGAATGTTGAAGAGAGGATTCAACCATGATTTGGTTGAAGTTGATGATTTAAATGGCCTCTTTAAGTCAGGAATTTGTAGTTTTGAACTATCTTTGCTTGCCAATGGATGAATCACCAACATCTTGAGTTTCTGGGATGGATAAAGCCTGGGGCTCTGGTCTCTGGTCCAAGCAGAGGTACTGTGACTCAGTTTTCACCCKGTGGGGGCAGGGGGAGGCACAGTATGGCACAGGGTGGATTCTCCATGTGACCTGTGTCAGTAGATTGAATGTGTGAGTCATACAGGAAGCAGAAACTGGATGTCTTTGTTGTCCATGGGTGGTGTCTCTGAGCATCCTGTGCCGGCCACTGCTTCTCCATAATCCATTCTGTAAACCTATATGCAAAATGCACTGGAGTCTGTGTGTATTTGACTCTGTCGGCATCCATTTTCATTGTCTGTTCTTTTCTTCTTTTRAGGTTCTTGGGAAATGGAACTACTCCCTTATGATAATGATTTATGTTGACTTGGGCAAGGGRAATTTTTTTGAACCTAAGGGTACAGTGATATTTAATATGTTCATGAATATTTTGGTCAGGAGTGGAAGCAATGTTTGGCCCTTGGGTCACTGGGGATGGGAAAGACAGAGTTGGGATTCAGCTCCAACTTTGAAAAGGAGGAGTAGGCTTTTAAGAACAACCCTGGAAGTCATCTGTTATTCATGCTTTCTCTGTGTCTCCTTTTAATACATTTGTTCTATAAGCATTTGCTCCTCAGCCCTAGGCTAGGTACCTGAAATGCTGAAGTTACTAGAATTTGCCTTAAAGAGCTCTCATAATAGAGTGGGTATAAAAGGTTCTGAAATAAAATAGTACAAAGAGGTCTGCCTGAAATCTGGTTATCCATATAGAGAAGAATGAAACTAGATCCCTGCCTTTCACCCTGTATAAAAGGCAACTCAAAGTGGATCAAAGACCTAGGAATTAGTACAGAAATTATACAACTGCTAGAAGAAAATGTGGTGTAAACACTACAACATATAGATGTAGGTGATAACTCCCTCAATTGGACTCCTAATTATCAGGAAATAATACTAGGAATTAATAAATGAATGGCATCAAATTAAAAAGCTTCTGCACAGTAAAGGAAACAAGAGCATAAAGGGAGAACCCACAGAATGGGAGAAAATCCTTGCTACCTATTCTTTCAACATAGGGTCAATATCCATAATATATAGAAATTCAAAATACTTATCTTCAAACATAAGAAAAACACAGCTAATAAATGGGCAAATGAACTAAACAGACACTTCTCAAAAGAATAAATATAAACTTAACAAATATATGAAAAATGCTAAATATCTTTAGCAACTAGGGAAATGCAAATAAAAATCACCCTGAGATTTTATATCACTCCAATTAGAATTTCAGTCATCAAGAATACCCSGGCTGAGGGCTGTAGCTCAGTAGTGAASCACTTGTCTTGCAAGTGTGAGGCACTGGGTTCAATTCTCAGCACCACATAAAAATAAATAAAAGACATTGTATCCATCTACGACTAAAAAATACTTTTAAAAAAAGAATATCAACAATAAGGGCTGGGATTGTGACTCAGTGGTAGAGCACTTGCCTTGCACGTGTGAGGCACTGGGCTCAATGTGCAGMACCACATAAAAAAATTAATAAATGAAATAAAGGTATTTTAAAAAGAATATCAACAATAATAAATGCTAGAGAAGATATGGATTTACACTGTTGGTGGGACTGTAAATTAGTACAACCACTATGGAAATTATATGGAGATTCCTCAAAAAGCTAGGCATGGAACCACCATACCACTSCCTGGTATTTATCCTAAAGAATTAAAGTCATCATACTATAGTAATACATGTATTCCCATGTTTGTAGCAGCACAATTTACAATAGCCAGACTATGGAACCAGCCTAGGTGTTTGTTGATGAATGGATGGATAAAGAAAATGAGGTATATATACACAATGGAGTTTTTACTCAGCCATAAAGAAGAATGAAATTATGTTATTTTCAGGAAAATGGAYAGAACTAGAGAGCATTATATTAAACAAAATAAGCTGAACTGAGAAAGTCAAGAGATGTATGTTTTCTCTCAGACATAGAAAAATAGAAATAAAAGAAGCGAGACCAGCAATAATGAAGGAGACCAAGGGGAGGGAGGAGGAGAAGGAGAGGTGAGGTACTGAGAAGAAAACTGACCCAATTATATTGTTATATTATGTGCATGTACAAATATGTTAACAACAGATCCTATTAAGACAACTAATTTTAACCTACCAGTGAAAGAAAAATCTGGAGGGAAAAAAGAAAGGAGCAGGGAAGAAGAAAGGAAGAAAAAAGGAAAACTATGCAGAAAACTATTTGACTATGGAATGGTTAGGAAAAGCTTCACAAAAGAGATGAGATTTGAACTGGTCTTCACAGTAAGTTGAGGTCACCTATACACTCTGTGAGGAAAAACTTCAACAGAATGAGGACAGAGCAAGCACAAGGGTTAGGGACCTGCTTAAACATGCTGTCTTGGGAAATGTCAAATAGTTTATAGTATACTCTGGAATGTACTATGTCCAGAAAGGTGATGAGAGACGAAACATGTTTTCCGATTGACCCTCATTTAGCTGCAGGGAGGAGACTGGCCTTGGTGTACCTGAAATCATTTTGCAAACACTATCTAGAACTTCATGGACTTTTTAATAAACACTTGTCAATTCTGCCTGATCTGTCTTGTGAATTATCAGAAATCTTACTACACATTACATCCAMTTGACCACCATAGAAATGAATTCTTAAAATAAAAACTCACTTAATATCAGCCAAAATAAATAATAATCAGGAAGRTAAATATGTTGGAACAACTCACGAGTGGTGACTCTCTTTTCTACAAGTGTGTAGGGCAAAATGATCCATATCTGCATCAGAACAACTTCATGTCTGGTTGGCACTGCATATATACCAGTGGGTTGGTTTGAGGGAATTTGATCTGATTTATTTGGATCTGAGAGCTATGTGTTGGTATATAGCATAAAGTACTCCCCAGATCACAGTGAAATAATTTGGGAGGTTTGACTTATCTTCTTTATCATTAGTGTAGCTGATCTGAAATGTGAGCACAGTCCTTTAATTTTATAATGTTAATTTTTTATTATAAAGTAATATTGTATGAAAAAATAGAAATGAATATAAGTATACACACTGTAAGAAAATAAACGGAAAACAAAATCACCCACCAATACTAGAAACTCACAGAATCACTGGCATTTTGGTGCACTTTGTCTTTTGTTACAGGTTAAATTCATAAAATGATTTTTAATATAATATTTGGGTCTGCTACCTCTATTAAGCATTCTTCTATAAGAATACTTTTCTGACTATAATCTCATTACTAGTTATGTTTTCTTAATACTCCCAGACTAGATTGTAAAGGTTGCAAGGAGGGGGAAGGTGTGTTATTCATACAGTAACCTAATTTTGGCAAAGGAATCTGACTGAGACTCAAGTTCTGATACACTAACATTACAAGGTCCAGGAATCCAGGTGTTTGTCCTTTCTTTTCATCTCTATATCCCAGAATCTGACATGCAGTGTATACCTAATGAATACTGATTGCTTGAATAAAAGAATGAATGAGCTAGGCAACTTAGTGTGACCTGCCTCAAAATAAAAAAATAAAAATAAAAGGACTGGGAATGTAGCTCAGTGGTGGATTGTCCCTAGGTTCAATCCCCGAGATGGGTTAATGTGGATTTTTACTTATTCTTTTTCATCCAAGGTTCATTGAGACCCTCTRAGCTAGGCAATGTGGATCTAAGTAGCAATATTTGATACAAAGCCCACTGAGGCTACAAGTGCAGAGCCCTTAGTTTCCTTCCACTGATACATAAGTCTTGTGGGGAGTGAGGGGGGGAGACCAAGTTCCKGTCTTCCCACTGTTAAATTGGGGATAGAGCAAAGACTGCTATTCCATGGAGTAGTGGAGTAATATTCCTGATCTCCTGAAAGTGATCCAGCAATGTCTAGCCTCTACCACAGCCCCCAGAGCCTTCTACTCCCTGCTTCAGCCCACCTGGTCCTGGCTCAGGGGCAGGCATGCTGTGGAGGAGTAACTCKGTTGCAAAAGACCTTAGGGAAGAGGGGTGCCACTGTTCCCTTAGTATGAGAGCAGCCATTCACAAGCCCTCCACCACCCCAGCCAGCTGGTCCAACTGGAAAGCCCAGATAAGTTTTAGTTCTGGCCAAAACTGGTTTGGCAGCTTTGGGGGTATGTTTCTAGATGACTGACCCTCCCCACWGCAGGTGCTGGCAGTTTTGCCAAAAAAATAAAAAAGAAGAAGAAAAAGGAAAGAAAAAGAAGAGGGAAGGGGGGGAGGTGTGGGGTTGTGGACTAAAGAAGCTGAAGAGAGTGGCTAAATTTGAAACACTCCAAACTTCTGCTCGCTTGCAAGAAGTGCAAGTTTACACTTTAGGATTGCCCCCACGCACTCTCGCTGCATTCATTTCTCACACACTCTCCTTTGTAAGGCAGTTTTGTTGCAATGCAATTTGTTTTGCACCGAGATCCTTGAGGCTATATAATTCTAGCCCAGCGYGCGAATTTTAGTCAATGCTTTCCACCGCACCCCATGCTATTTGTTGTTGTTGTTATTATTATTGCAATTGCATCTCTCCGCTCTTTCCCCTCCCTACCCGAATCGCGCTCCGGCTGTGATTGCTCCGGTCTGACTTTGCGAGCGGAGCGGCGGTGCGCTTCCAAACCCCCCTTATCCGCCCCTCGCCCCCCTCTCCCCCCTCCCTCCTTTTTCCGCGCCCAGGCGAAAGCAGCCGATTGGCAGAGCGGTGCTTTCAGGAACAATAACAGTGGGGGGAGCCCGGTCCCGGGGAGCCGCCCCCGCCCCCCGGCCCGGCAGCGCGGCCCGCGCCCCCCGCCGCGACCCCACCTCTGCGCCCGCCCAGCGGGCTGACCAGCCAGACCGGGGCCCGCCCCCGGCGCCCACCATGTACGCCTTTGTGCGGTTCCTGGAGGACAACGTCTGCTACGCGCTGCCCGTGTCGTGCGTGCGCGACTTCAGCCCCCGCTCCCGGCTGGATTTTGACAACCAGAAGGTGTACGCGGTGTACCGGGGTCCCGAGGAGCTGGGCGCCGGGCCCGAGAGCCCCCCGCGCGCCCCCCGCGACTGGGGCGCGCTGTTGCTCCACAAGGCCCAGATCCTGGCGCTGGCAGGTGAGCGAGCGGGCTGGGAGGGACGGTGGGACCCGGGCGGGGGCCGGACGGGAAGAGGCCGGGCGCTGGGCAGAGGGGGCCTGGGGAGTCAGTGCTTGCTCTGGTCTCCTCCTACTACCTATCCGGCTTCTCTTTAAGGGATGGAGTGTCTGTAAGGGACCAGACCAGTTAAAAAGACCACAGGGTCCCCTTTGTCTTCCCGCTTCCCTGACACTCCCGCGCTGTCAGTCTGCCTTCATCTGTCTGTCCTCTTTCTGATTCTTTGTATTCTCCCTGCTCCTTCACTTTCCATTTCTCTCCCTGCTGGTGTGTACCATCACTGCTCTCTCACCTTCTCTCTACCTCTCTCTGTTCCTTCCCTCTCTGCTCCTTTCCGTCTSAAGTTTCTCAAGTGGTCTCTCTCCCTTTAAGGCCCTTAGCATCTCCTAGGAGTGAGGAGTAAGACACATATTGTTTGATCTTTAAGTGGGAATCTCTCCTTCCCAAAGGAATCTGTGGCATCTTTGTCCCATCTGGGCCATCATTAGACTGGATAAGGAAGCCTTGAACCTCAGTGCACTAGGCACCATTCTCCTGCCTTTCTCCAGCGAGGTAGCAAAGGTAAGGAGGAAGAAGCTCTAAGGCATTCCTGAAGAAGCTCTAAGGCATTCCTCAGCTTCCACATCCATCTCTGAAATCACCCACAGGCTCTCTGAGTGAGAGTTAGAAGCCAGGAAAGAGCTTCTAGGTCAGGTTACCACAGGACCTACCCTCCCTGCTTACTCAGGGCCTGAGACTTAGGCAAGGCAGGTGGTCTCATCCTCATTTGACAGAGGATGACACTGAAGTTGAGTTGGTGATAGGACAAGACCAGCCCTTCCACCTCATGTGCTTGTGCTGAGAGGCACCTTTTCCTTTGTAAAGAGAAGACAGCTGGCCCTCTTTACAAGCTAGTTCTAAGAGGCTTAAATGCAGACTTGTGGGCTACAGGAAAATATCACTTCCTTTTGGGTAAGCAACCTTTTAGCTGCTGCTGGTTAAGAAGAATGTGCCTTACTTAGAGTGGGCACACACAGTCACTCACCCTACCTCCTACTTAGAAGAGAACACCAGGGTTAGGAACAGAAGGGAAGACATTGTCATTGTTTTGTAATTTGTAGACCTTTTCTATTTTTTCCAGCTTCCTTTGCTTACTCCCATTTAGCCTAAAAGATGAACCTCATATAGTGACTTGCCCAGGATCTTGTGGCAAGTTAGTTTAGTAGTGTAGTAGAGCTCAGCCTCGTGACTGTTTCCTGTCCACCACCTTATGTTGCCTCTGCAAAGGAGGTTTGAGGGAGTGGAGGCGTGGAAGAACTGTATGCTGATCAACAACACCTCCTGGGCCTCTTTTTGACAAGCTGTAATCTTTTCACCTGCCTTGTAAGCCCTGGGGCATAGGACTATAGGCCCACCTACCACCAGACACCCCCAGAAATACTGAGCAAATGGAAGTAGGGTTTAGAAAAGGGAACCCTTTGTAGCTGATTAGGTTTTATTTTGCTGTTTTGTTTGTTATTAATTACTAAAGAACGAGATTAGAAATTTATTCCCCAAGAAGACAGGCCTGAAGAAATTGTAACTAGGTTATAAACTTAGCTTCTTTTTTTGCTAAAAGAAAAGACAGCATGCTTTTTGATGATTGTGTCATACTCCTGGATCTGGGAGGGCCCCAGGACAGTGGAAGGAATGTATGTCAGAGGAAGTAAGCGACAGACAAGGGCTTTAGTGTGTAAAGGCTGGCTTCCTCCTTTGGAGATTGTTCATCCATCCACCCATTCATTCATTCACACTGTGCTTGGCCCTCCAGGCTCTGCAGACAGACCATTTAGGCACATGGCAGCCCACACCATCTCTGATTTTAAAATCAACATTTAAAATCTGATTTTTAAAGTCCTCCTAAGTCAGATACTCATAGTTGTCGTCTGAGAACAACAAATTTTGAACCTGTAAACTATTCATCCTTCAAGCTGAAATGTTGATTAATATTTTGGATTATTAAAAAAAATCTAGGCAACATCTAGAAACTAGCAGAATATATACAGAGAAGTGCAGCACCCATTTGAGCAAAGTAAGATAGAGTGCTTCCCACTACCTCTCAATTTTTTCTTGGGAGAAGAAAAAAAGTGTGATGTTGACTAGACCACATTTGGAATTCCAATCACCTGGTTAATTTTTAAATTGAAGTGAAGCTGCTGCCCTGGGTCCTAATTGGAAGGACCAGGGTGAGTYTGACAATTTATTTACCCTGGGAGAACTCTCCTGTGTGCCTTGGAACCCCATCTTGACATAAACTTGGTGGTTCCGAGAATTGCTTGCAACTTCATTTTAAAGAGCTCATCTGGCATCTCCTGGACATAAATACAGTTGTTCTGTGGCACCAAGTATGAGGAGGTGATTCTTCAAGGGGAAGGCCAGAGGTGGCTTTATGTAAATAGATTTCTATTAATTACTCCCTCTCTGGCTCCAGTAGAATGGTTTCAGAGGTAGCAACAGGGCCACTTTATGGCTTTCAAGTGAGAAGTATCTTTCTTAGTATTTGCCCAGGCCAATMCAGAACTGTTTTAAAATGTACCTCTTTTTATTCCCAAGAAGTGTCAAAGGCCAACTGCTATGGGACTTTGTACTCTACCACCCGCAGTGGCTTATGCCWTGGCTTCAGTTGTGTTGGACCCTAGTGTATGGCTCTCTTTTCACTAAATTACAATTCTAGTACAAGGAAAAATAAAGTCCCACCTTTATTGACAATCTTTATATGTGCTTGTATCTCTGTTAGTCCTCTTGGATACCCTTGGTAGATATTGCTATGATTATTATTTCCATTTTATAGATGAGAATACTGAGATGCAGACATTTGCCAGGTACATAGCTAATAAATGGCAGCCAGAAATGGAGCACAGATCCTCCAGGGTCAGGCCTCTGTTTGGCAATCTCCTTGGTAAAGTAGCTAATGTTCCTATCAGCCACATAGCATGGCTTGGAATGAGGAGAAGGAAAGAAAATGCTGTCCGTGAAGCTTACATAGATAGCTCAAGGCCATTTTTCAAACCAGAGGACAATCTTAGTTTCTGAGTTTTCAATCCCACTGTTCTTCCTCTTCCTCTGCTACCAGCCTCCATTCTACATATGCCTCTTTGTCCTACCCTTCAGTTGTCATTTACTTGAGGAAATCCTCTCAAAGGAACTCCTGTTCCCTCTACTGGGAACAGGAGCTGCCTTTGAACTGTGTGATATCTCCTCACACTCATTTATTTTGCCAAGCAGGTTGTAAAAGTAAGAACCACCCATTTGGAGAGCTGGCCATTATCTAACTGCAATCCAGCCTGTTCATGGTATCGACATTTGTGGTATTAGGGGCTAAAACTGGTTCCTCTAGGCTTGGTCTTAACATTCTATATTGTTCTCTCTGGACACCTATATTATTATTGTTGTTTGAGTTCAATAAATTCTCCTTGTGGTCAAGGGTTCCCTTACTACTTCCTGTAGGCCGACCCAGTGCTTTAATAAGTGATACACCAAGGCACTAAGCCCAAGGCACTAGGATGAAAATAATGGCAGGACCCAGGGAGGACAGGGGTGAAATTTTCAAATTCAGCTATGTAGTGTTGTGTGCAGGCGGATAGTCAAATGGGCACTGTCTTCATGGGGTGTGTTGTTTGGTCACCCCAACATATGCAATAATAGGGGTAAGAGCCTGGCAGTAGGGAAGGATGCACAGGGAAGGAGGCAGTTCTAGGTGGGTTGGTAACTTAAGTTTTTCTTTTCTAGTTCCACTAGCACTGCCTGCATTCAGGCCTCTGCCTCAGCTCCTACTCGTCTAAACCAGCAGCCTTCAAATTGATCACCATGTCTCAAAATCCATTTTTCAAGTTGCTTAATTGACAACTTTTCTTAGAACCTTCTGTAGCTCCCTATTTCCTGCTGATTAAAGTTTCAGAATCCCATAGACCAGCCCCAACCCCAGCCCCACCTTAATTCTCTAGCCTCACCTGCTCTTCCCCTTTGCCCTAGAAATGTGGCATTTCTTGCTACTCTATGAACACATCCTCAAGCACTCCTTTGAGCCAGCCAGAATGGATGGATCATTGTCTGATAAGGGACCTTTGCCTAGTGGAGCTCACCTTCTAGTGGGCTCCAGCCCATTAGGTGCTATGAGAAAGGAGACCCTGCCTCTGGGGCATTCCCTGTACCTCMCTCTGACCTCATGTGAGGGCAGAAGTCTCTTTCCATTTTGTTTGTTATATATGGATAGATGGATTATAGCATCTTCTGACTGGGCTGCCCTCCATGTACCTCTCCTCCTGCCAGACGGGGAACCCCTCCAGGACAGGGGCCTGACTTCCTTATCTGGGCATTGCAGAACCCAGCACATAGTTAGTCCCCACTGGTTGGGCTGTATTGAACTCCTACACATTAGGGAGATAAGTGCATTTTTATGTTTAGGGAGAGGAAGTAGAGGGGACAGGAACCTCTGAAGCAGCAACTTGTTTTTTAGAACAGAAACCTGCAACAGGATTTTTGAGGTTTCATTCAACTTTGTTCATCTGGAAAAAGTCAACATTCTTTATCACTCCCTCAACTAAAAGAAACCCCACACTCGGGAGAAATAGCTTCCAAAGCCACGTTCTTCTTGCTTTGGTAATTTTAGCTCATTCAGGGCTCAGGTCCCAGCTTGGCATTGTCAGTCCAAATAGATTACTTGCTCCAGAAATGCTTTGGAACTTCTACAAAGTTAGCAGCTAAGCAGGGGACTAGCCGATTTCATATGCAAAGATTGTTGCATGTCATCAGTGGGAGACTGCCAACCAAAGGATTTATTTTTTTAAAAAAGCAAGTGAAAACTTTTAATTTAGGTTTTGACATGTTCTGCTGATATACATTGGAGCAAAGATTGGAACTTGCCTGCTGTCATCTGTTGCAGATTCTACTGGAATGTTAACCATTGAAGGTTGAGTCTGATGTGAGTTTTTAGTACTCAAGAA